TCTGGTACTTACCTTCCTCTGGTGCCACCTATTGGCACATTGCAAGAGATTGCATAACTGCATACACCTGTTCTGATGAATGGTGCGCTGTGAATCTCAGAGAAGGAGAAATGGGATGTCCACTACCACACTGTAATTTAAACACTCATGCTATGCTCACCAGGAAGAGTACAACCCCATTGTGTATGTTTTCTCAGGAGTCAGCTGTTCTGTGTTCGTTTGGGTTGATTCCCAGGTAAATATTCTTAGGTCTGAAGGCAGCAAGCCCCAATGCTTTTGGGACTGCTGTTTCAACACCACGGTCCTAGGCACCCCAGCTAAGGAAGGTACATGTCCGATAACACTGGTCAACAACAAATTTGTTGTCTGCATTTTTTCAGTTGATTTAGGACGAATCTGATGCACTGAATCCAAAAATCACATTGGTTTTGCTCAATCAGGTCAGGTTTTGAGCTATGGCCACATGTCATTTTTTTACGTTTTTGTTCACATGTACGCTTGTGTGGAGCATTTTAGAAGAAGTTGGTGGGGGTAAAATGCCATGTCGAATAACTGTTTTGATTGGAAATGATTATTTTAATGATAAGAAGTATTCAGGTCCGATAGTTCTGGGTGATTATGTCGAAAAGGGATCAGTTTGAAGTCATAAAACCTCAAAATCTTCCATAAATTGGTGCGGCAAGGCATAAAGTTGGGGGATCAAAACTAAGTTACGGTAATCCTGATCTTCAATCAGCCCATCGTCCTGTAGCTCATTGTGATGAAATTCCAGTGCCTGTCTTCGGAGAACTTCCTGACATTAGTGACAAAGATGCCTCCAGTGTTGAAGGACATGAAGAAGCAGAAGTGGTTCTTGAAGATGATGCTCCACATCCATTTTCCCAAAAGGAGTTGAATGATCTAGTTTGCGACCTCAGCTTGTCAAAGGACTCTGCCGAACTGTTGGCATCCAGATTGAAGGAAAAAAACCTCCTCTCTGACAGTGCTCGCATCAGCTTCTTCCGCAACAGGCATCAAGAGTACCTTTGTTTTTTCTCGGAAGAGAAGGACTTGGTGTACTGTGCAGATATTGTACAGCTTCTGCTCAGGCTTGGAGTGCCACATTACGAACCCAAAGATTGGACACTGTTCATTGACAGCAGCAAGCGATCACTGAAATGTGTTCTGCTACACAACGGCAAACAGTTTGCCTCTATACTCCTGGCTCACTCGAGTACACTGAAGGAGAACTATGAAGCGGTGAAGTATGTGCTGGAGAAAATTGGTTATGATCAGCATAAGTGGTTTATTTGTGTTGACCTGAAGATGGTGAACTTTTTGTTGGGACAACAGTCTGGCTTCACCAAGTACCCATGTTTTCTGTGCATGTGGGATAGTAGGGACCGTGCTCAGCATTACACAAAGAAGGACTGGCCTGTGTGGGAGGAATTGGTGCCTTGCAAAGAAAGGAACATCATCAACAACCCTCTGGTGGACAGAGACAGAATACTCTTCCCACCGCTGCACATCAAGCTCGGCTTAATCAAGCAGTTCACCAAGGCTCTGGACAAGGATGGTGACTGCTTCACTTACTTGTGCCAGGCTTTTCCAGGATTGACCATGGAGAAGTTGAAAGCTGGCATCTTTGACGGTCCTCAGATCCGTCAGCTCATCAGAGATCCAGAGTTCGGAAACTCAATGAACGAAGTGGAACTGGAAGCGTGGAAGGCATTTGTTCTGGTAGTGAATAACTTTCTTGGCAACAATAAGGCCAGAAACTACGCAACTTGTCAACAACATGCTGACTGCTTTCAGAAACCTGGGCTGCAACATGAGCGTCAAGATGCACTACCTATTTTCACATATGGACCGGTTTCCTGAGAAACTGGGTTCAATGAGTGACGAGCAGGGGGAGAGATTCCATCAGGACATGAAAGAGATGGAGACCAGGTATCAGGGTCGCTGGGACGCAGTCATGATGGCTGACTACTGTTGGACTCTGAAGAGAGACCTCCCTGCCGCTGAGCATTCCAGGAGTTCCAAGAAACGGAAGTTCAAGCCCTGAAGTTTGAAAAATGGTGAAGCAGCATGCAATTTACATGTACTTACCTTTATCAATGCCCACCATTCAGTTTACAGTAAACCTGACCTGATGGAGAGAAATGGATGCCATTTCCTGATTCAGCAGTGCAAAAATACCCTAAATCAGTTGTAGAAATCTAGACAACATTCAAAAAGTAAAAAATTGTTGCCCAGTGTAATTAATTCTTTATTGACAAAAAATGCATTTACAACAACTTCCATGGTGCTCCATATACTTCTCGCCTCTAGGCAGCTGCCCCCAGGTTTGTGCCCTGCTGAGCAGTTGCCGTAACAGTGGGATCACGCCACCCCCACCCCCAAGCTTACGTACCCTCATCTGATGGAGCATACACATGCATCTTGAGGCTCTACCTAAAGGTAAAGGTAAAGGGACCCCTGACCATTAGGTCCAGTCATGACCGACTCTGGGGTTGCGACGCTCATCTCACTTTATTGGCCGAGGGAGCCGGCGTACAGCTTCCGGGTCATGTGGCCAGCATGACTAAGCCGCTTCTGACAAACCAGAGCAGCGCACGGAAACGCCATTTACCTTCCCACTGGAGCGGGACCTATTTATCTACTTGCACTTTGACGTGCTTTCGAACTGCTAGGTTGGCAGGAGCAGAGACCGAGCAACAGGAGCTCACCCCGTCGCGGGGATTCGAACCGCCGACCTTCTGCTCGGCAAGTCCTAGGCTCTGTGGTTTAACCCACAGCGCCAGCAATTAATGCTTTTGCCCCTTCAAGCCCCACCTGGTTCTAGGAGACGGCAGGACGGGGGATGGCGGGGAGTCTACTGGCCCGTCCCTCACCTGAACAGTCTCTTCCGCCACCCCTGAGAATTCCTGCGTGCCTCCCTCTGTCTCAGACTGCTCTGAACCTTCTTCCTCCCCCCCCCACCTTGACTCCTGCCTTGCAGGCAGCGCCAAACCCCATAAAACGCTGGCCCCCTCTCCTGGGTCATTCCCCAGGTCCCCTGCCTCTGCTGCACACTTTTCAGATCCCTCCCAGTCCCTCGCTAGACCGTAGCAGAAGATCTTCCATTCCCCCTGCCCCCCTGAACCAGAGAAGCAATATTCAGCTGCTGAGTGCAAGGGAGCTCACTGCTTTGGAATGGGCTGACCTCCAGCCAGTTATGGTACAGGGAGTTCCTTCTCAAAAGCTGACATACTTCTGGGATGGTTCCAGATCTCTCTCTCTCTCTCTCAAGCATGTGTATAATTTCTGCCAGGAGAAGCAGCTCTAAGCGGGGAAGCAGCCAAACAGCTTAATCCACGAGCCAGTTAAGACGGAGCATTTAGAGTTGAATTTATATAATCCAAGGGGCCTCCACATTACCTAAATGCCATAGAGGCTGGCTAATTTGGATAGGTTTTATTGTTTATTTGTTGTTTATCCTTGTGGACACCTCATAAGCAACCATAGCTGTTGCTAATGATTAACAAGGGTGGGCAGACGCAAAGGCCGAGTCCGGCTTTGATGGTCCATTCCTAGGGCCGCCATATTTGTAGTCCTGGAGGCCTAGAGCTCCGGGCTTTGCTCTTCAAACAGAAGCCATGTGCTGAATCCTCTGGTCTGCCCTCAGTTTAAGCCTCTTACTCCCTTCTATTAATTACTTACATTCGTATACTGCCCTTCACCCGAATATCCCAGGGCGGTGCACAACGTAAAAATACAAAATGAGAACATGAAATACATAGAAGACCATAGAATGTTAATCAGCCCAAGTCCTGGTTATAGAGAGACACTTTCATCTGGCACCTAATGATGTGTAATGAAGGCACCAAGCGAGCCTCCCTGGGGAGCGCTTTCCACAAATGGGGAGCCAGGTAGAAAAGGCCCATTCTCGTGTTGCCACCCTCTGGACCTCTTGTGGAAGAGGCACACAACGAAGGGCCTCAGATGATGATCGCAGGTTCCAGGTCCGTTTGGTTAGTAACCTGGTTTTTAAGGTACAGTGGTACCTCGGGTTAAGAACTTAATTCGTTCTGGAGGTCCGTTCTCAACCTGAAACTGTTCTTAACCTGAGGTACCACTTTAGCTAATGGGGCCTCCTGCTGCCGCTGAGCCACCGCCGTGCGATTTCTGTTCTCATTCTGAAGCAAAGTTCTTAATCCGAGGTACTATTTCTGGGTTAGCGGAGTCTGTAACCTGAAGCGTCTGTAACCTGAGGTACCATTGTAATTGAAAATATTATAGGGATGTGTGTCATTTTTTAAATAAATAAAGGCGAAGACTTAAGTATGGAGTGCAATCCTATGCATGTTTACTCAGAAGTAAATCCCACTGAATTTAATGGGACTTGAGGTATGATACTGCTGTGGTACCTCGTTGGCTGCTAATCTTTCTTTCATATATATACCACAGGACTTATTCCCAGGGGTGTGTAGGATGGATAATTAAGGGGCAGGGTAAGTGGGAATTCATAACTGATCTCCTCAGAGTAGACCACTGAAATTAATGGGCAGCAGGTTCATATGGGGAGAGGCAGTCCTTTAGGCCTTGCAGTCCTGAGCCTTTTAAGGCTTTATAAGCCAAAACCAGCACTTTGAATTGCACTGCATGCAACCCATGATTTATTTCTGGAGACTGACCCACTCAGCACAGATTTACTCTCAAACTAGCCTCTTTGAACCCAGAGTTTTTGCTTCCTGGAAGCACAGAGACAGTCCTGCAAAGTCTTCTGATCTTACCATTTAATAGAAAACTAGATAAAAGTTCTAAATGGGGGGGTGGGAATGTTCCAACTTTATATTTTATAAATATCATTTTTACTTGGGTGTCATTAGGAGACAGCAGTTGTGGGGCGACTTTGTGTGGCTCTGAAAACTTGCTATATTGTCTAAGACCCGATGTACATTCCTTTGGGATATAAATATCAATTTGATTAGCTAGCAGGTCTTGTCAGCTACAGTATCTTATCCCCTGGGGCATTTGAGCAATGACGTGGTCCCAGGACTTCTGTAAAAGGCTTGGGGGGTCTTAACTAAAGCCTATATAAGACAAGGTCTCTGCCCAAGCAAATACCCTAAGAGAAGAGCTCTCCTTAGATCTTAGATCTTTCTGCCCCCTTTTCTTCTCTCAGCTTTGGGAAACATCCACAAGGTGAGTTTAGCCTTTCAGCCTAGAGATTTTTTTCCCTGCCATTTTTTATTATTTTTGCAGCCATTGGCAACAACCAAGCCATTAAAAAAAATAGCCACCTGCATGGAAACTTATCAAGATTCTCAGACCAAAGAAGCTATCAAGCAATGAGATTTATTCTTATTATTCTTATTACCACAAATATTTTTTGTTTTGCTTGTTTTTGGCGTTTGTGCAAACTGGGGGGGGGGGAGAGACAATGATCAGAGAAGAGCAAATTAATCTCCTTCATGACCATCCTGATGGGGGGAAAAACACAACCTGAGTGGACAACAGAATTTTGTTTAAAAAATAAAAATTTATTTTTTTTGACGAAGGAACTCTGCTCGCTGGTTTTGAATGGCAGCTCCTTTGCCTTGGACTGTAATCATTGCTTTTGCTGCTGCTGCTGCTATATCCTAGCAATACAAGGAGAGCTCATGCCGCTACCCCATCTGGTGGCTGAAGAACAACTTGAGCTCTGGCAGCTAGAGCCGACTACTCTTGAGACCTCCTGCACCTAGTTATCTCTGCTTGAAAATGCTATTCGGATCTCTCTCTGAAACCCTGGATGGCTGCTGCCAGCCAGAGTAGACAATGCTGAGCTACAAAGGCCCATGGTCTGACTCCGTTTAAGGCAGCCTCCCATGTCCCTATGGCCCTCATAACTTTCCTTTCTGTCTTTAACCTCAGCTAACTATTTCTCCCTCCTCCCCCTATAGCTTTGATAATGGCTTTCGCCGGTATCCTGGCTGATGCGGACATTGAAGCTGCCCTGAAAAGCTGCCAAGGTAATTTCTATCTTTAAAAGTATTTGGTTTCCCTACCCTCAGGCAAACAATATATTTTAAAGAAATCTGTAACTTTCTCCCTGCTCTTCCATTCTCCATTCCTGGACTTGATTGTGCAGCGCTAGTGGAAAAACAGACACTTTTCTAAAATACGCTTTCCTAAAAATGCAAAGCAAAACAAACAAACAAACAAACAATCCTTCCCAAAAAGTTATTTTTCCCCCTCAAAGCAGACAAAATAACTTAACCAGCTATTGAAACACAGCCAAGCCACAACGTTTTGTAAATTAGAAATTGTGTGTCTATGAACTGAAGGAATTCTATCCAAAATAATTTCAGCAGTGAGCTTGTCACGACCAATAATTGTGAGTTGTCTGCACCTCATAAAGAAGACAGACTTAAGACAGAGATGTAGAATATTTAAACAAACAAAAAACAAACAAAATCTGTTTCTAAAAGTGTACATCTGGCTTTTCAGTTAGATACTTGTACAGGTAGTACTTGTACAGATGGCAGATCACACAGGCAAAGAAGCTTATACAAAACTAGGTTAGCCCTGGGTGAGGATAATTTTTTTGAAATATGGGGCTGTATCCAATGTGATTAATATCTGATATATCAAATTCACAGTCCGCCTTCTTTGTGTATATTAACTACCACAAAGAGGAGGTGTGTCCTCTGCTTCCCCCAACATTCATTTTATATGTAATTGGTTAACATTTGTGCTAACCCTGAATGGCAACTGTGATAACACTATTTGTAATAATTGCAGATACAAAAAAAAAAAATGTTGTTGTTGTGCTTAGTGGGCAATATAATAATAATAATAATAATTGGCTATAAGTGCAAAGAGCAATACAACCAGCGGATGTATTACAGTATAGCCACCCTCTTTGCTGCTATTGTTTGGAATCTTAATAGAAAAAAAAAACCTGATTTCAAAGGCCCAATGTGTTATTTGTGGGCATGGCTGTGGGAGAATGGTGGGTGCCGCCCAAAAATGATTCGGAAGTTTTGCAGAAAAAAACAGCAAAGCAGCCTTCTTTTTCTTTTGGTTTCTGTTGGGTGAGCAAAAGGAAATTCTAGAGCTGGGAGCAAATGGCCTCTTGAAAGTCCCAACCTTGTTTGCCTGCAGAGAAATTGCAGGAAAAATTTCACCAAAATTCTCGGGGTTGGAGGGGGTAGAAATTCTCTAACAATTTCTAGCCCCTGGAGTAGCACAAGTTCCTTCCCCACCCCACCCCGCAAGGGGTTTTCCCCACCCCATTAAGCGGCAACCACAACTGTGTATCTTGACATCCTCCTCCCCCTAAAAATCGCCTGGACATGGTATCATTTCCGGCCAATGCCAAAGGCTACTGCAGACAACAGAGTTTGGAAACCACAGCAAAGTGTGTATGTGCAAGACCAACATGTTGAGTTGGGATGGAAAGATCTATCAGTTTAAGTTCTCTGTTTCTCATTTACCCTGCCTTAAATTTAGTTCTCCACATTTTGCAACAAGCTGAATATTTAAAATAATAATAATAATAATGATAATAATAATAATAATCCTGATTAAAATTTATCAGCATTTATGTGCAAATTTCTCTGACCGAACACATTTTTCTATGTAGCTTTGACTAATGTACACATTTTTTGCAAGCCGTTTCCCCTAATATAATGCATTTTTATATGTTATTTCCACTGATGTCTTCGGGGGGTTTTGCACACTTCCTTCTAATTTATGCTTTTTTTGCTAACACTGGTTGGATAACTGCATTGCAAAATCCGAATAAGTGTGAATTTCGAAGGATAGCTGCGTTTCGGTTCACATACCGCTTCGGAAAGTGTGGATTTGATAAATTTGGCTTTAAATGCCCATAGAATCAGATTTCACCTTCGCCCCTAGTGCCGAGCCTCTCAGAGAGAATATTCCCTAAGCTATAATTGAACTCTGCAATCTTAGCATGATTTAGAGCCAGAGTCGTCAAACTTTTCAGACCCTGGGCCAATAGTGCAGTTAGGTAATTTTAGACTCCGGGTTCAGTGACCTTATGGGGAGGGAGGGCACTTGTTAGATGACAGCATCTGCTACTTCACCAGCCCGGCTGTGTTTGGGGCTTTTCTGGCTCATTTTGCATAGTGGGACCCCAGACCTTTGCCCCAAAGTCTTGGCCTGACAGCTCCTCTACCTGGTGGGACTCACCTTATCTCCAACTTGCAGCATGGCATTCACTTCTATTTGTTTTGATCTTCTTTAAATATATATATATTTATATTTATGCATGCAAACAGAACATTTTTTAACTGCCTCCATTGCGGGGCATGATCTGCTTGTTGGTGCCAAACCATTAGCTGAAGATGATGATGGGCATTTCCTGATTCCTAAAGGAAGTTCTATGATTGTCCTTTTTTAGACCTACCCAGTCTGGTTTCGAAAACAAGACCAACTTGTGGGTCTCAGGGCTCCTTTTAGACTGATAATTCCCAGCTGCTGAAACCCAACATGCACAGCTGAAACTATGTGAATTTCAAGTTGCAAATTGCTTTGCATTTTTGTATCAGTGCACATCCAACTTAAAATGCAACTCTTATTTACTGTGCCTTTTTGAGAGCCATGGTAATTTGATTTGTCCTGGACCCTTTATTGAGTCCTATAATTGATTCGAGCAGAATTGCTACCCCAAAGGCAAACTTCCCTGAAAACATATGGTAGGATGGAAGGCTAAATATGACATTTTTGGGGAGACAAGTTGTCCTCATTCATGTACGATGGTCAGGGGGGGAAATCTATTTCCTTTAACTTCTCCCCTCCTTTTTCTTCCAATATTTCACCATCTCTTTTCATTTTTCTGCTTCAAAAGCTCCCGATTCCTTCACTTACAAAAGCTTCTTTGAGAAAACGGGTCTAAGCAAAAAATCTAAGGAAGAACTGGGGAAAGTATTTGGAGTCCTTGACCAGGACAAGAGCGGATTCATTGAGAAAGAAGAACTGCAGTGAGTAGAAGGGGAAGAAATGCCTTTCCCAGAGACAATTTTCAGTTTTACAATCGGTAGTTAACCTGCATGCCATTGGGTCAGATCCAAATATGCCCCCTTGTGCAGAAGGCATCCTATGTTCATGATGAAAGGTGCGCTCCACTTATGGACAAACTATTTCATACCTGACACTAGATCCAAAATGAAACTAGATCCAAAGAAGTTGATTTACTGGTTCAACAACTTGTGCAACCTTTTACACAATCAGAAACAGAAGAACAGTTATAGAGCCTTCCAGTAATAGCATAGCACAAATTCTTAAGCACATACAGAACAGCACTGGTGACTAGGTAAATGTCAAGGTAAAGGACCCCTGGACGGTTAAGTCCAGTCAAAGGTGACTGTGGGGTTGCGGTGCTCATCTTGCTTTCAGGCCGAGGGAGCCAGCGTTTGTCTGCAGACAGCTTTCCAGGTCATGTGGCCAGCATGACTAAACCGCTTCTGGCACAACAGGACACTGTGATGAGTGTCAGAGTGCATGGAAACAGAGTTTACTTTCCCACCGCAGCAGTACCTACTTATTTATCTACTTGCACTGGTATGCTTTCGAACTGCTAGGTCAGCAGGAGCTAGCACAGAGCAATAGGAGCTCACCTCACCACACAGATTCGAACTGCCAAACATCCGATCAGCAAGCCCAAGAGGCTCAGTGGTTTAGACCACAGCACCACCTGTGTCCCTGTAGCATTGGTGACTATTGCCCTTTCATTCACAGTTCTCCGAAACCAACCCATTGAGCATAAATGTTCCTCAAAGTGGAGATGTATGCAAATAGTTCAGACAAGTCTCTCTCTCTCTCTCTCTCTCTCTCACACACACACACACACACAAATAATACTTTAGGCACAATCCAGCCCAAGTTAAGTACTTTTAAGTTTAATTGATATCAGTTGAAAAAGTACGAGTCACATAAATACACTGTTTGGGATATGCATGTTTTAAATAAATAGTAAATATATGTTTACATCTTTCCCACTAAAATAAGGATGCTTTGAAGTGCTTGATTCTGTCTGCACTGTTCCCTTAGCATTTGAAAACACTCCATCGTTAGTGATCAGAGTGCTACATATGCATTATTTCAGCACTGTATTATTCCTATACTGTAATATGGAAGATGGTGATGGGTGGTATTCAGTGCTAGGCCCACTCAGAGTAGACCCATTGAAGTTCATGGACATGATTAGCTTAGAGTCATTAATTTCAGTGGGTCTGTTCTATGTGGGGCTTAGCTGAACACAACAACAATAACATCGTCATAAAAACTGTTGTTATTATTAACTATTGCACTCATACTGAATGCAGAATTTATGTATATATATTCTAACCACTTAGTCATTTCTTGAAATATAAACTGGTATACATGTTAAATACATACATTCATACATACATATATACATACATACAATTAACGACAAAGGTGCAAAGGCTCATGCATTGCCTGCAGATATTCAGCACCAAAGCTAAGACTTGAACTAGGGTTTTTTCATAGGGTGGTCATCACATGTCTTAGAGAACAGTCCTCTGGTTGAAAGGCTGTCTGGTTTAAAGATAACGAACCCTCCGAAGGGAGAGCAGGAGGGGACTTGAAGTTGTCCATCAACAGTTAGCAGCATCTGGAAAGCAGACAGAGCAGACAAACACCTGCTCCTGATGTGTCTTCCCCACTAGGGTGAGACCTACTGCATTTTTATTACAATTATCCTAAAGCTACACCTATACATATAAAGAAGCAAATGCAAATTTTATGCTGATCAGTGCCCTCTTTTCTGATAATGCCATTTCCTCTCTCTTTTTTTGGCCACTTTCAGAGCTTTCCGAATATAAGACCCCAGGTGTAACTTAAGTCCCCAGTGGCACCTTTGCCACATTCCATACGAATTACGGAACCATATTCAGGGCTCAGAGGTTAAGAAACGTAGCAGAACAAAGAGGCCGACCCAACAGTAGCTGTTTTTGCATTCCTTAGTACAGTATCAGCTTCACCTACCTCTCCCATCAAATTAAAGCGCAGGGGCTGCGGAGAATACAGGGGAATGGAAATGCAGCGCTTTGAAGCACAGCAAGTGTGTGGAATTTGTTTTGCATTTCACCTAGATTGGCAGCCCAAGTGGCAGAATGCAGAAGAGATCTCAATGGCCTATGAAAGCTTGAATAATAAGAATGTTTTGGTTGGCGGGACGATTGGATGGTGGGTGACTTTTTGGCATGTGAAAGAATTTGGGGGGCGCAATCAGTAACTTATATGAAAGGGGTATTGGAGGTGCGGGAATGCCAGAGGTTAACAAATTATTATGACTATTACAAATATATTTCTTCCTGCCCTATGGCTTTTCTTGACAAGAGGGGAGGCTTTGCATAGGCTTTTTTCCCCAGCAGAAAGGAATGCTTCATGGCGAATGTTAATAAAACCACACTGTAGCCTCACTGTAGCTTGCTAACCTATCACTCATCAATCAATTCTTCTCTGACAGAAATTTCATGCAGAATTTCAAACCAGGCGCCAGAGTGTTGACTGACAAGGAGACCAATGCTTTCCTGGCAGCAGGTGACACCGATGGAGATGGCAAAATTGGAGTGGAAGGTGGGGATAAATTAGCGGAATGCTGACCTATTAATTCACCTGGATCTGACATGTATGCCTTGCTTGTCCTGTTATCCTTAATATAATAGGGATAGGGAGTTTATGACAATGAACAAATTAAAAGTGATCAGGGCTTCTGGAATTTTCTTCCGAGACAAACTAAAATCCAAAAACAGAAAGTTCAGGTTCTATGATTCTATCTTGCAAATTGCCCAGAATTTGATTCTTGTTCCTTGTAAATATGATGTACTTCTTTGGTAAAATGCAAAGGAGGGGAGCAGGGGTCTGTAACCTTCCCCTCTTCCTGGCCCTCAATCTAGAGTTCCCCTTGAAGAAGGGAGCTCAAACTGAACAAAATAGAAGTTCCCTCCCCAGTGTAAATGGCATGTGGGGAGGGATCCAGACTGGGAACACAGATTGGTAGCACAGTGGGGAGAAAGGGTTTGGTGGCTCACACTGGCAAAGTGTGGTAAAACATACATACAATAAAAAAAGTGGCAGTTAATGGTAGAGAGGTGTATTTATAGCACCATACATTTAAAGCACACACCCCTCCCTCCCCCGAATTTAGGAAACTGTAGTTTGCTAAGGGTGTGGGGAATTGTAGCTCTCTGAGGGGTAAACTACAGTTCCCATGATTCTTTGAGGGGCGCTTAAAATGTATGGTGTGTATGCAACCATTGAATTCAGTCTCTGGCAGAAGTCTCTGTGTGACATCATTAGAGAGAATCAGTATGGATTCTGAAAAATAAAAATAAAGCTGTCTAGTTTTCTCAACAGCAAAATAATTAAATCTGGGTTTTGTTTTTGCTTTTCTAGAGTTCCAAGCACTGGTTACAAGCAAGTGATCAAGTGGAAGACCAAGCTATTGTATTGTAAAACACTATTTCTTATTGCAAATCTACTATTTATTTATACATTTTATACAGTTAAATGGCATTGACAGTTGCCAATATATTGTTTCTTATTGTTAGAGGACTTTGTTAAACTCCCAATGCGCTGTTTGATCTTTCTTATTGTCTGGTGTCACAAATTCGTAGTTAAAGGAGGTCTGCATCAAACAGAGACAAAGTTGGAATCTAAGGAGAAGAACTTCGAACTTTTATGTTTCACTTGCAGTAGGCGCTAGTAGGAACACTCAATAAATGTGAGATTTTAAAGAGATCTCTGGATCAAAAGTTAACCAACATCAATCTTCCTTCCAATAGAGGTATATGAAATGACAATGGGAGAATCATGTTGATTTTTGTTTATGTTTAAACAAAAATGTTTAAAGAGAATGTTTAAACTGGTCCTTGCCTTAACACAACCAGCTTCATTAAATGCCTTGCTGTAGTTAACTCTGGTGGAATTGTTCATTTGTACATATAAAGAGACTTCATCATTCACAAATTAGGGAATCGTTCTTTGCTTGTTTAACTTATGTTGTTAAGTTTCCCTTCTTTCTTTTGTACATTGCGAATGTAAAAAAAAAAACAGCAACACAACATGTTAGCTTTGTTATGCTTTGGAAGCATTCGTTTTTAGCTGACGGTGTGGATATGGGAAGATGGAAAGCTGAGTGGGGAAGGGAGCCAGAATGGAACTGGCAAGCCCAGCATGGAAATAGCACTCAATAACACACACCAGCAAACATATACTGCATTTTCCTGGACCCAGAGACAAGGCCTCCTTCTGGCATGGAGTCACAGAGCAATATAAGGAAGGCAGGAATTATGTGTTGATAAAAGGCAAAGGCAGAAGACTTGTTGATCTTTCTGGATGATGGCAGAGAAGGAACTAGGTGCGGATAACTCATTTCTTCTCTTTGACAAAGGAGCCCCTGGGGTGGGAGACATATAATAATGGTTGCAAACTGGATATTTAGACCTCCCACAGCATGGTCAGCTATGGAAGTGCTAGGACAAATTTGAGGGTCAGTTCTGCCTGCTTGGATTCTGCCCTCAAAGCTGCTCTGACCTGACAAACAACCCCAGCAATTCCTTTTGATATAGAGAAATAGGGGTGGTTGGCTTTTGCTGCTCAACTCCCCCAAGGGACTGATTCCCCTAAGTCCAGGATCAGCCAGAGATGAACGGATGGAGGCAGATCTTTATTTTTCTGTTGCAAAAGAGTTCCCTCCCCTCCTTGCAAGGAGGCAAGAGAGACCCAAAACTAAGAAGAAACATCTTTTTTAAGGGTTTGCATTTCGGCGTGGAGAAGAAGGACATGCCCTCTACAGTCAGAAATTACATCACACATAAGGTGGGGTTAATGTGGCTCAGGCTGGCCAAGGTGTGATATTCCTGAGGATTTAGCAAGTTTTACATAGTTCCAGACACAGTTTGCAAAAAACATTAGCATTTGATAAGACAGTCAGGATGCAGGTCAGACATCCCTCAATGCAGAGCATCTGGGCAAACTGATGACCAATACAAAGGAGGTTCATAGATATAGGAGAGGAATCCCTTCAGGAACTTCCCCTGACTGCTATCTGCCTACCTGTTCTCAGGCAAGGGGGATTAAGGAGGCAGTGGAAATATAGAGATTCTTTAGGAGAGCCAAGATGGCTTTTGGATTGTTTTCCTGTATCATTTTAGACATGTGGTTTATATACTTAGGCATGTGTGCAATTATCAACATTTATGATATATTTGAGACCTTAGAATTCCTATAACACTTTGAAGTGGCAATATTCTTAAGGATGCCAGAGAAGCTACCCAAGGAACAAAGGAATGACGTTTATATTGAAACAGACCATAGGTCTCCCAGGGTCAATATAGTCTGTATCAGGGTTGGGGGATTTCCAGTTCATGCTCCAAATGCAACCTACCAGTCGTCTCAATCTGGCCTGCTGGATTCCCCCCAGGCCATTCCCATAGCTATTGGGCTCTCTGTGTTTGTGTGTGTAACTGTGTGTTTGTATACTTTGGCCCCTCCAGCCAATGCTATGTGGCTCCCAACCACCTCCCCTCAAAGGGGGTGGGAGGACCCTGGCAGTGTTTGTGCATGTGGGAAGGATGGAGATTCTTCATCCCTGGTCCACAATGACTGCTGTCTGTTCTGTGTTTCAAGCCTTTCCCAGGCTGGAGAACTGAACCCGGGATCTTCCCACATGCAAAGCATCTACTCTACTTCAGAATACGCAGGTGATGTATATGGCTCAACTGCACACGACCATAAGGGTTTTTTGGCTTTGGCACCTTTGCAGTTTGGGATGCAACGAGATCAGCGAATTGCAAGGGGGGCGAGAGAATTGTGTGACGTTAAGACTGATGGACAGGGAGCATGCCTGAGCAGTCGCTTATTAAAGTTCATTTAAAAGCAACAAAAATCAAGATAGGCTTAATTTCATTATGTGTAGTAGTAGCTCAGCACAGAAATAGAAAATCGTACGGAGAAAGAATTACCTAGAAATAATTGACCACTTGATGGCACTCTTGTTTTGCTCACAACCAAATGTTTGTACCTGGTTCAGAATGCCAGGATGAGACAGGATTATTTCCACAAGCCTGTCTTCATTGTATCACTCAACTCTGGCAAGTGCCCACAATAAAGAGAGCTCAATGCAAGGAATCCAGGGTATTGCTCAATTACTCTGCCCTAGGAGGACAAGTTCAAAAAGGCCCAGGGAGATAAATTGGTACATCCCAACCCTGAACTGACAGAGAAGCTACTTTCTCTCCAGAACTACCTTACCAAGTGGCAGTTGCTTAGAGCTGATCAATATTAACAGCCCTACAACTTAGTTTGCTCCTGCTGTAATCTATACAGTGGTGCCTCGCAAGACGAAATTAATTCGTTCCGTGAATTTTTTCGTCTAGCAAATTTTTCGTCTTGCGAAGCACGAAATCCCATAGGAATGCATTGAAAATCAATTAATGCGTTCCTATGGTCAAAAAAAGTCCAAACAAAGCCAAATTTGGTACAACACGAGTTTATTAAGTGCTCTTTAAAGTCACACATACTGTAAAGAGCATTTCAAAATTCAAACCCAGAATTTTTTTTTAAAAACAGCAGAGTTGCCCAATGGTCACAGAAAATCATAAAAATGCAGGAAAAAAAACAAGCTTCCAGATTCTTGCAAACCCCTCCCCAACTGTTCCCCCAGCCACCCAGCACACAGAAATTCAAATCCAGAATTTTTTTAAAAAAACAGCAGAGTGGCCCAATGGTCACAGAAAATCATAAAAATGCAGAAAAAAACACACAAGCTTCCAGATTCTTGCAAACCCCTCCCCAACACCAGGTCCTTGAAATCCAAACACCCCAACCCAAAATCCAAAACCCCCCAAAAAAGTTTTAAAAGCTTAACTTACCAAATGGCTGCAAAAGAAGTTTTGGAAAAGCTTCAAAAATCACCAAAGTCTTTAAAAACCTCAAAAAAGGCTACTATGTACACTGCGTTCTATGAGTTGCTCCTCAAAGTCAAGTCGCAACTGTATTAACGGTGTTAAGAAAAAGGAAACAAACTTGCAAGACGTTTCGTCTTGCAAAGCAAGCCCATAGGGAAATTTGTCTTGCGAAGCAGCTCAAAAACTGAAAACCCTTTCGTCTAGCGAGTTTTCCGTCTTGCGAGGCATTCGTCTTGTGGGGCACCACTGTAATTTGCTCTTCCAGGTTATCCACTTCCGCCACACGTGTAATTGAGTAGCGACAGGTTGAAATTAAGAGATATCAACAACAAAAAGCCAAACCACTATACAGTGGTACCTCTGGTTACAGACACTTCAGGTTACAGATGCTTCAGGTTACAGACTCCACTAACCCAGAAATACTACCTCGGGTTAAGCACTTCACCTCAGGCTGAGAACAGAAATCATGCGGCGGCTGTGGGAGGCCCCATTAGCTAAAGTGGTAGCTCAGGTTAAGAACAGTTTCAGGTTAAGAACGGACCTCCAGACCTTAAGTTCTTAACCTGAGGTACCACTGTAATTCATGTTGACTGGTTCTTAACCTCATCAGTACTGGCTCCAGCTTTTGGGGGGCAAAGGCAAGATGTTCAGAAGGCGGCCCCCCCATCTCTGTGATTTTATTTAGAGAGAGAGAGAATGAAGGGGGTGTGCCTTTGGGGAAGAAGATTACAGGACTTGCTGTGTCAGCAAGGGGTGGGGAAATCAGCGGGGCCAAAAGGCTCCAGAGGTCAATCAATGGCCCCTTGCCGGGTTTGTGGGCCTTGGCAAGGGCCTGATGGTGCCAATTGCTGACACCAGCTGCAACCTGAGTGCACTTTCAAGAATAATCCCTGACTCTGCTCCAATAGTTAATGCTGTTTTGCATTTTCTGCTTTTTCGCCTTCCGAAGGTCCAGCAAAATGCAGGAAGTATTCCTACCTTAGTTATTACACTGGTGGAAAAGGGGGTGCTTTTCTGTGTGCCTGAGGAAGAGGAAGGGGGTGTTTTCAAGTGTGCACGCGCTAGAGCGGTGGCAAGCGCTGAAGAAATAGTGGCGTTTTCCTCAGTGGAGGAGAAAACTCAGGAGCAGCTTGAGGCTTGTGAGCACATTATGTTTGCCTTTCCTTTGCTGGCAGAAGAAATCTGAAGAGCTTAAAGCAGGCATAGGCAAACTCGGCCCTCCAGATGTTTTGAGACTACAATTCCCATCATCCCTGACCACTGGTCCTGTTAGCTAGGGATGATGGGAGTTGTAGTCCCAAAACATCTGGAGGGCCGAGTTTGCCTATGCCTGGCTTAAAACTTCGCTAGTAGCATCAAAAACATTTCAGTAAGTCAGTCTCACTTGCTCTATGCTTATAATATAGATATTACGGGAAACTTAGAGTATGTTCAAAAGAAACTTTAAAAAGTTTGTTTTTCATTCAACTGGCATATAAATTTTATGAAGTAAGTAAGTAAAAAAAGGTGAAAATCACTGCAATACCCATTCGAAAGGAGGAATAGTGTAGTCTATGCAAATTTTACAGTCGAGATGGCAGCAAAATGAACACATCGAGGTGGACTTTGATTCAAACCACTGAGGTCCAGCGCCAAGGGCCTTCTGGTGGTTCCCTCACGGTGAGAAGTGAGGTTACAGGGAACCAAGCAGAAGGCCTTCTCAGTGGTGGCGCCTGCCCTGTGGAACGCCCTCCCACCAGATGTCAGGGAAATAAACAACTATCTGAAGGCATAGAAGACATCTGAAGGCAGCCCTGTTCAGGGAAGTTTTTAATATTTGATGTTTTGTTCTGTTTTTAGTGTTCTGTTGGGAGCCGCCCAGAGTGGCTGGGGAAACCCAGTCTGATGGGTGGGATATAAATAATAAAATTGTTGTTGCTGCTGCTGGTTTGTGTGTTGCTGTTGCCCTTTGCACTGATCCACCTGAGGCTGCAGGAAAAAAGGAAAAGTGGGGCAGCATTGGTTTCTAGGTCCTAAACATGTCTGCATCCCCAGGGTAGGCCATCGGTTCCTCCTTACCTGGGACGGTACTGGAACAACTAATGAACTATTGACAACCACTGTGCCAAAGAAGAACCACCGACCTGACCAGAGCTGCGATTGCCCCAAAATTACAATACCAGGAGGCAACGGAGGGCTGCAGGGCAGGCAACTGGAAGCAACTATCAAGAGATGGCAGGAGAGGTGTCCAGTGACTGGGTAAGGTTAGCATCCCGCAAGAGTTAGCAACAGAACTCCAAAACACTTGAATTCTGAGCTTGCTATCTAATTTCCAGGCAAACTGTCTCACGGCTTGACACTGAGGCTCCCCCGCTAGCTCAACAAATCTGAGACACTTTTGACACTTACCATTACATTAGGGACGATAAAAAATTGATGGTAAGACAGGTGCGGTGTCTGCTTCGTTGATCGTTAACAGTAGATAAAAACGAAAAACAAAAACAAAACCCTGCATCCAGGAAGTCCTTAGAAGCCTTTTCTTTTTGTAACAGTCCTGCGGAAGAGTTAACGTCGAAAAGGACAGTGCCTTTGTTTGTTTGGAACAGTCCCACTATATTTATAGAGGACATAGGAACTAGGATATGATCTGGAAGCACAGGAACTTAGGTAAAGGTAAAGGGACCCCTGACCAGTTGCGGACGACTCGGGGGTTGCGGCGCTCATCTCACTTTATTGGCTAAGGGAGCCGGCGTACAGCTTCCAGGTCATGTGGCCAGCATGACTAAGCTGCTTCTGGCGAACCAGAGCAGCGCACGGAAACGCCGTTTACCTTCCTGCCAGAGCGGTACCTATTTATCTACTTGCACTGCATGCTTTTGAACTGCTAGGTTGGCAGGAGCTGGGACTGCGCAACGGGAGCTCACCCCGTTGCGTGGATTCGAACCGCCAACCCATAGGAACTAGGATATGAAGCACAGGAACTTACTGAAGCTAAAACAGCCTGGATCTTGTCTGTGTCAGGGTAGGAGACTGCCTGGGAATCCCACAGGGGCCATCTTGAGTTCCATGGGGAAAAGGTGGGATATAAATGAAATAGAATCATAGAAGTGTAGAGTCGGAAGGAACCCCAAGCGTCACCTGGCAGTAATCACTGCTAAATAATAAAAGTACTGTATTGGCCCGAATATAAGCCACACCCCCAAATAAGCCGCACATTTAAAATTTGGGAGGGGGGAGGAAAAAAGACAATACCCGAATATAAGCTGCTCCCTTAAAATTGGGTTACAGGCTGAAAACCGCTGCGGTTGGTAGAATTGTAACTCTGAGCCAATTTAAGCCTTTGATCTTGCAAGCCCGCAAAAGTTAATGTACAATCACTAAAATCGCAAATTCAGTTGCTACAATTCCGCAGGCTCTCACACCCGCAAATGGCAAATGTAGAAGAAAATCCTAAGGGTTAATTGCACAACAGTCTCAAGCTTGCAAATTGGCAATAAAACTGTTTTTTGTTGTTCCTTTTTACCGTTTATGTCTGCTTCAGCAGTGATAAAAGCCCATTTTTTGTAAGGTTGTGAACTTAAGCCGCACTTTTACTTTTCATGGTCAGAATTTGGAAAAAATAAAGTGCGGCTTATATTCGGGCCAATATGGTAAATACCGAATTGGATTCGGAATTATTCTTGAATTTCATCCTCCAATCTAGATGCCCTTGGGACATGACAACTGGGGCACCGCATGATGGGGACGGCCAATCCTTGCCTCTTAGTTCTCTTTGGCATGTGGCTCCGGATGCAATGACTGATGCCCATTGACGAATCTGCTCTTTGTGAATTTGTCTCCCGTTCTTTTGCAGCCAACTACCTTCCCTCCCATCACCACATCTTGTGGAAATGAGTTAAACATACATCCCATGAATAAATAACTCGTTTTGTTTGTCCCGAATCTATGAGCAATCCATTTGCGATGCAAGGGACTCATCAGGTCTGCACTTGTTCAGCTCTGACAATGCTGTAGCAGCAGCTTCTTCTAGTCGCTGGGCTCTGAGTTGCTGCACTGATAATTATTTTAAGACAATGATCACAAGCGCTGGAACCTTAGAAGAGGAGCCGGTAACAATATACGCAGCCGACACCCTCTCTTGCCCATAGCTTTTACCGATTCTCGAGATGCATTTTCTAATCATCCTTTAACCTTTAGGGCAGAGTTATTGTTAAAATAACAGAGAAAACCTGAATAATTCAGCAATCGAAAGATCGCCCTCCCTGATTATGCTGCTGACAGCAACCAGAAACATCTTGGACAATTGCATGTAGCATCACGGTCACAAGATAGTGTTACTGGGTCATTGACGACACTCAACAATCTGTTTAATGATCATCATAGAGTATATCAAACGGTAGCGACGGCAGCAGAGAACTGAATTGCTTTGAAGCTGTAAGCCAATCAAGGACACAAACTGCTGGAATTGATATGCTATTTACAAAACTACGCTCTCTTTCTTTGATGTTTTCTACCACTGCGTGCGCCCCCTTTCCAACCAATGAGAGTTTCTTGGGTCCAAGCTACCCAAGGCTTTAGTTTCCTCTGAACGAACGAGAGAGCACTGGGAATTTATGGCGTCTTTGATCACAAGGAAAGGCTCTTACTGCAGGCAGCCGATCCTTGACAATCAACTCACAGCTCCAACCTGCCTACTGCAAAACGGTTTCCCTGCCTTTCCCACATGCTCTATTCACTAGTATGTTGCTGAATGCAAGTAGCTTTTTACCTGTTCAAAAATGAGCTGGGGTTAGGGATGGTGGAGAGTTTTGATTCAGTTGACATTTAAAGACAAAGGTACCTGCTTTTCACTTTCTGAGACAATGCAAGAACCAACACAGTAATCCCTTGAAATTTGCACTTCTCTGAAATTTGCAATTCAGTTCGCCAGCCAAGTTCAGTTCTCCCCCATTTTTATTTCAGTTTGCATTTTTTTTGTTATAATGCAAAGGTCCTCCTGGAAATTTGTCAGCATTTCAATGTGAATTTCTCCTGATACAGACATTTATGCAAAGCAGAATTTTTGCTCATTTTTCTGTTCGTTTCATTAATATTTGCATCCGTGTACATACTTTGCCGTAGTATAGGTGTTTTTGTACACAGCACTTGGCTGGAGACCAGTATGGCAAAATTCATAGAACTGCGAAGCTTCATAGAACTGATGAATTTCTGCCCCATTCCCAGTCAAGCACGACTCTTCTTCTCCTCTTTAGTGTTGCATCGACTGCCTTCTGCTGCTTTACCACCTTACTTTTTGAGCTTTTTGAGCAACAATGCTACTGAAAAGTAAATGGCTTAAGACAAAGAGATGTCATTTAGCATGAAAAAGAGAAACCTGGCATATCTCAAGTGCCTTTTGGTCCGGTGTATGTAATTAAGATGCCTCTTTTTTTATTTGCCCCTGATGATTTCATTCATTCTAATTAAGGTGGACAGAAAGCAATGCTTCAGATAAGAGTGTCATTAATTAATAAATAAATACCAGTAACTGTAGATTACCACCTGTATCGCTATACAGAAGTATTGCCTTCGTTCTGAAATACAGTTCTTTTTAGCTTTTGTAACCAACCTTTCAGCTAGGATTAGTGTCACTTTGGTCCTTGGCGTCCGGTTTCAACCTTAAAGAACCTCTTTCTTAACAGTCACTGATTGGTGACATCTTCCTTTTCATGTTTTTAGCTGACCTTGTTGTCTCTTCGCTATGCAGTTCGTTTATTTAATCATTTCCAAATAATTTTAACTGGAAAGCACTTTGCTAGGCATTCAGTTGTTATTTTTCTGGGGGTGGGTGGGGTTCTTCTTTACATTTTTAGTAGAAATCCATTTATATGGGGTATGGAACTATCATTAAGTTGGAAGAAGTGGTGGGGTAGTCTGATCCCTGCAGATAGTTAAGACAGGTTCCTCCCTATTTTAGTTCCTTTTCCAGTACAACCTTTAGAATATGCTTTTTAAGGAATTTGTCTTAAAATGCATGTCGACAGGAAAGATGGCATGTGGGTCTATTTCACAGCCAAGCCTCCAGAAGAAAATACATTCGTTTGTAAACTATTCCTTCTAGCCTGGCATCCCTATGCATCTTAAGCAGTATATCTTGGAGACTCCAAAAGTTCTACTCTTACTACATTCTGCACCTAGTACATAATCTTATTATGTTCTATACTTAATACATATTCTGTTTGCTAGAAAACTATGTTGGAATAAATATGGTGGCCACATAGCAGCTGTCCGTGCACTGCACCTTACAGTTTGCCTAGAAGGACTATAAGCAAAGCTGGAAGAAATAATAATAATAATAAACCGTAATTTTGTGTTGTTTTTAAAGAGGGGGTGGGGAGGCACAGGATATCCAGGGCCCACTGCAAAAGAATAGGGAGCCAGGCTCCCTAGCTCTCACTCTCTCTAACAATCCCTCTGTTTCCAAGCACAGAGCAGGAATTCTGCTCCAGAGCTATAACCCTTCACCGCTTGTTGTTGTATATTTCAATTGCAAATTGCATTAGGGTGGTACCTCAGGTTACAGACGCTTCAGGTTACAGACTCCGCTAACCCAGAAATAGTACCTCGGGTTAAGAACTTTGCTTCAGGATGAGAACAGAAATCGGGCTCCGGCGGTGCAGCAGCAGTGGGAGGCCCCAATAACTAAAGTGGTGCTTTAGGTTAAGAACAGTTTCAGGTTAAGAACGGACCTCCGGAACGAATTAAGAACTTAACCTGAGGTACCACTGTACTGTGTTTTACAATGGGGCGTTTTTTTGTATTCAAGTTCCAAAACTGAAGTGCAGATCATCTCTTACACAGCTCTGTTTAATAACAACAGTCCTATCAGAGCTGTCCCAGTTTTCGCTGTCATTAAAAAGGTTTTTACATTCTCATTCTTCTTTTCCCCAAGATAGCAGCGACGTTTTAGGAAATGGCTTTGTTGTAGACGAGAAAGAGAAGCTTGATAAAGACGGTTCCCTCCAAACCCTATCAAGGTTTCTTCTGTCCGGCTGACAGCTTCTCTTTCGTCAGGCTGGCACGAAGTCACTCGGCGTCTTTCACCTCCAGGTTCCTCCATAGGATCAGCAAACATGGAGGGATAAAAACCAGTGTTTTCTGTACATTTCCCTGTACATTACCTAACTGCCTCAGGGGGTTTCCCAAGAGATGGCAGCTGGGGAGAAAAGGGTTAGCCCTTCCCTCAATGTATGCAGCCACTCACTCCCAACATGTCTAATGCACAGCAATTAAACTGAGGAAGAAACATTTCCACAAATGTGATTCATTTCCCCAAGTTTATGTGACCCCAGTGGCAGAGCTAGCTGCACCCGGGGGGCAGGGTGAGTGTCCCAGGGGTGTGCCGCATGCGCCAAGCATCCCAGGGGGGGCACCGCCAGCAGCAAGCATCCCAGGGGGGTGGAGCGGCAATATCACCCTTCTCAGGGAGGACACCTGGGGCGCACCGCTCCCACCTTGCTCCACCTCTGAGTGAAAAGGGAAAGGAGCAGCAGAAAGAACAGGGGTGGCCCACCATGTGGTTTCAGCCCCCCTCACCACTGTCTCCTGCCCTTCTCACCTGTGCTGGGCCCAGGGGTAACCCGTGAAACGCGGTCCAGGTCCGGTCCAGAATCCGAAGGTTCCGCCGGGAGTCAGTCCGACAGGGCCAAGGCAGGACACGAGGCAGGAAACCAGGCAAGGACAGGTACAAGATCTCAGGCAGGATCTAGCATACAGCAATGTTGCTCCCACAACCTGGGGCCAGGTTCGACAGCCTTTTATCTTTGTCGGTGTAGCGGCCGGTCCTGATCCCCCGGTGACTCACCTCCCTGTTTCGCCCGAAGGCGAGCACTCCTCCTGTGAGTACTCAGGTCTATCCTTCTCTCAGACCTCAGTCTCTGCAGCTCGGGAGATGTCGGTGGGTTACTAGACCCGGAGGCCGCCTCATCCTCTCCTGACCCAACCAGTAGTGGAGCAGCTGTAAGTGATGGCCCAGCTGAAGGCAACGAGGCAATCCCTGTATATGGAGCCAGGGCAGGCTCAGGCCCCTGACTCAGCCCAGCTGGTGTTTGTTGCAGGGGAACCTGTGCAGACTGGGACTCTTCAGGATCAGGCCCCGGACTTGGTTCAGATGATGCCTGAGGCAAAGGATCCGGTGCAGACTGAGTCTCCTCTGGTTCCGAGCCCAAGTCCCAGACCATCACATCACGAATGGTATGGAGCTCCCTCTGGCAGCTGAGACGGGGCAAGTGGGGAGAGGCACTGGGCTTAGCTTTGGACCCACTGCACCCTTGCAGAAGCAGCTTTCTCCAGGAGGCTGTTTTCTGGGAGATACTAAGCAGCATGATTGGGCCCCACTGCGGCTGAATGCCATCTGCCCAACTAGCTGCAGCTGCTCAGGATACTCCCCAAACCATTGCACCTTGCTTTGGTGCTGGGAAGGATATGGCAAGCTTGCTGGGGTCAGCTGGTTGCATCTCTGGTGGGGGCAAACCCAAAGAAGATACCCCCAGAGGAGTTTGTCATGTCTTTCAGGTGCAACAAGCTTGTATTACACTTACAAACACAATACATATATAAAAATGCATTTTCATTCATTTTCATTCCAGATCAACACCCCCCCCTACATATGTACCATCACATAACTATATGAATTAACAACCACTATAATTTGCTTCTGTGCAGCACAAATAACAACCAGTGATGGATCCCACACATTTTGAAGATCACAGTTATTTTCTATATCTACCACATGAATGGTAGCAAATAGCCATACTTGAAAAGGTGGTGTTATTTTTCAAATGTCTGTTTCACACTTTTGCATCCCCTGTTAAGCAAATTTTCACTGGGGAGCAGACTGAATGCTGACAAACTGTGGCTTGCCGGAATTATGGTATGCTGAAACAAGCCAGCCTAAACTCTGGTTTATAAAGCTGACCGTTTCAAAAGAATGTCAAGATTAACCACAGTTTCAGAGTTGGATATAACAATAGTGTGGTTAACTAAAAGCAGAAGTGAAAGCTTCCATTGTCTTCAGAATCATACTGCGCAGGAAAGAGTTGGCACAGAAACTCAAAGCTTGTAACCCGTGTAAATCTAAACCATGGTTTAACATCATGTCCAAACCAAGGCAGGCATTAATTTTGTGAACCTGCTGCATGCAACACATGAGCTAAAGACTTTCTCCCTGGTATCCAGCTTGCCATTACTAACCAAAGCAAATGTTTTTGGTCCCTCACATTGAATTCATGTGGAATTCCAGTTTGATGATTGCACTTAAGCTTGACGAAAGCCAGTGCAATAATTCATTGTCAGGATGAGAGTGTCCGTAATTCTCTTTGCTGGTTGAGTATCGCACAGTTGGGAGCAAGGTGCAGCCCAGGCCCTACTTTGCTATAAAAACTGTTCCTGTACACTTTCCCCCCCATTGGTGCAGGCCTAATTAAAGTCAGTGCAAGAACATATTGCCAAGATGGGAGTGTCGGCAATTCTCTCTACTATATTCTCCTTGGGTATAAATAGAAGGGAAAAAAACCCAGTTCATTAGTTAAGCAAGACATTTGAGCAGGGTCTCAAATTGAGCATCTAATCCATGAAAGGGTAACCTAAGTCGCTATTGTCACCTTTTGAATCCTATATAAGTTAGGTAGACAACTCCAAGCCAAAGGTACAATTTTGCCTGATATTGATTCAGCTTTCCCCCCCTCCCACCTCTTCCCCGCTCAGAGAAACCATAAAGGTGAGCAGCCCGTGAAGAGATTAAAGGGCAGAGACACCTGTGCCTGGCCAACTACATTGTAAGTATACAGCTTTGTCTCTAAGACTGAGCTATTATCTATTTACCTGTGAACTGTTTCCCTGCCTGGAAAAGCCATGGAAGGGACTAAGGGAGCAAAACATCTCTGAGTAGTAAGCATCGTGCTTCTTCTCTAAGAAGAACCTGTTATCTATTTATCGGCTATCCTTTTACCTGTTACTGTCCACAATACAAGGATGATTAACCATTTTTAGTGAAAATATTCCACCCTTTCCATTTTCAGCTGGGGTCCTTATTTCTCTCTCTCATCTCCATCTCTCATATCTGTGCATCTCAAAATACAATGCTGTTTTGCGCAAAAATATGTAAGATACATCAAATATGGAGGTAGGCCTGAGTCAAAGAGGGGTCCGTACGCTCGGTATGAGGACAAGGTTTATCCAAACATGGGACTCAGTTAGACTGCTAAAGAAAAAGCAATTTATATGTATTGTATATGCAATATAACGTTGTGCCACCAGATGGTGATGCAGAGTCCCATTTATCTCCACCTGTTTTCCCTGTTTAAATTTACAACGCTTTAAACTGAAACGCTTCTTTGATGTTTTCTAGATCCAGCCATGCTTATGCTGATTGTCTAGACAGTTTTAAAGATACATATTAATAGGTTTTGTCTTAAAGCCGAATGCAATGCCCCTTGCTTTTTCTTCTCTCGTATCTCTTCCGTTCCCTGAGTGAAAGGGTGAGCTCGCTTGCCTTGTTATAGCACTTTGCTTTTTTGTCTTTTGGGACAGATTAATATGAGTATCAGCGACATCATCAGCCCTTCTGATATTGCTGCTGCAATCAGAGACTGTCAAGGTAAAATTGTCTGTGTAACTAATCTAAGAGCTGCATCTAAAACACATTTATACCACCCTAGCAGACATGGCTTACTCACAAAGAATCTTGGGAACTGTAGTTTCCCTCTCACAGAGCTACAATTCCTAGTGCCCTTAGCAAACCACAGCTCCCAGGATTCTGTGGGTGAAGTGATAGGCTTTAAATGTATGGCAAGAATGTGACCCAAAGGTCCATTAGTTCAGGAATGGGGAATCTATGGCTCTCCAGATGTTGTTGTACTATAGCTCCCAAAATTCCTAACTTGTCCATAGTGGCTGGGGTTGATTAGGCTTTGATTCCAACAACTTCTGGACAGCCACACAGGCAGGCACGGTCCAGGAGGTTTTGTCACTGTGGGCAAAACACCCTGCTGCCTCCCCCTGCCCAGCACTGTCCCCCCACAAATCCAGGCACCCTCCCTGCCCCCAACATTGCATCTGCACTGCTACCCATCCTGCCGCTGCAACTACAGCCTTGCCTATGTCAGACCCTCCAAGTGTCCCTGTTTTCCAGGGTCAGTCCCATGTTTACAGAAGCCATCCCGGTTTCTGATTTGATCCTGGAATATTCCAGTTTTCCTAAGAACATCCCTATTTTCATGGGAGAAATGTTGAAGAGCATGGAGTTACATGATCCCCGAGCCAAGGAGATAAGTAACCGTACAACCTTTAGAAGACATCTGAAGGCAGCCCTGTATAGGGAAGTTTTTTTAATGTTTAATGTTTATTGTGCTTTTATATATGTTGGAAGCTGCCCAGAGTGGCTGTGGCAACCCAGTCAGATGGGAAAGTATTATTATCCTCATCACCATCCCTATTTTCACCAGAGAAATATTGGCGGGTATGCCAGGGCTGCAAACAGTGGCAGCGATGAGGACGCAGTGTGGGGGTGAGGGCAAGGGTACTGTGGCGGCAGCAGAGGTGGTGTGAGCAGAACCACAGCATGGCTGGCAGCGGTGCAACAGTGCTGGTGGGCTGGCGGTGGAAAATTCTTTCACCTCACCTCATGGCCACAGTTTCTCAGTCACTGACCTAGCCCAAGATGCTGTCCTCAACTGTATTATTGTATTTCCATTTGTAGTCTGCTTCCTCTCTGAAGATCTTAAAGAGGTTAAGAGCTCAAGGTAGTAGTTAGCCTGATGCTGCCAGAACATTGACAAGCAGGACATCCCCTACCTATAGTTTGCTCCCAGCCCTAGACAACAGAATAAGTAGGAGGGCATCCAAACACACCAGTAAATGAAGTATAATACACATTGCCACCTAGAGGAAGGCTTCCAAGAGACCTTGAAGTCCAGAGTCTTAAATTACCTAACTACACCAGTGTTCTGAATACACAGGTTCCAATTCAGTTATTTTATCTATGTCTCATCATTGTATTTGATCTGTGTTTCATTGGTAAGTTCATTTTGTGAGCTATTTATGTTATTTTTCTCATTAAACTGCCTGTAGGTTTTTCTAAGTTAAATAAATCCCTGCAGCTGCTGTTTTGAAGGATGCAATCACTCATTTAATGTATGGTATGGTTGGTGGTTCGAATCCCTGCAATGGGGTGAGCTCCCGTTGTTCAGTCCCTGCTCCTGCCCACCTAGCAGTTTCAAAGCACGTCAAAGTGCATGTAGATAAATAGGTACCAACCCGGTGGGAAGGTAAACGGCATTTCCATGCATTGCTCTGGTTTCACCAGAAGTGGCTTAGTCATGCTGGCCACATGACCCGGAAAAATTTCTGTGGACAAATGCCGGCTCCCTTGGCCAGTAAAGCGAGATGAGCACCGCAACCCCAGAGCCATTCACGACTGGACTTAACGGTCAGGGGTCCTTTACCTTTACCTTTTATGGTTTGGTTTGATTGCCAGACTAAGACCCGGGGGCCAGATCCAGCCCAATCATCTTCTAAATCCGGCCTGCGGACAGTCCAGGAATCAGCATATTTTTACATGAGTAGAATGTGTGCTTTTATTTAAAATGCATCTCTGGGTTATTTGTGGGGCATAGGAATTCGTTCATTCCCCGCCCAAAAATATATAGTCCAGCCCCCCACAAGGTCTGAGGGACAGTGGACCGGCCCCCTGCTGGAAAAGTTTGCTGACCCCTGTCTTAAAGAAACCAGCTCTGGACCCCACACTCCTAAAGAAACCAGCTCTAGACCCCTTATCAACCAGTTACAAATCTTTCCTTTGGAGGGAAGGTGGTGGAGAGGATTGGGCAGGAGGTATCTCCAAGCATTCTTGGACACCACAAATTTCTTAGATCCTTCCCAACCAGGATTCGGGTCTGAGTGGACGTTGGTCACCCCGATGGATGACCTTTGAAGAGAGGGGGTGGGGAGTATGACCCTGTTCCTGCTTCTTGATCTCCTGTTGGTTTTTGAGTACCTTGACCACGGGATCCTCCTGCGGAGCTGGCACCGTTACAGGTGCCACACAATACTTGCTTTGCAATTGTAATAAATTGAACTTTTCGTGTGGCAGCATCCAACACTTTGGAATTCCCAGCCTACTGACATCAGGCAGGCCCCTTCACGGTACAGTGGAACCTTGGTTCTCGAACTTAATCCGTTCCGGAAGTCCCAAAACATTTGAAAACCAAGGCGTAGCTTCTGATTAGCGCAGCCCCCCCCCCCGAAACAATAGCCGACAACTGCATCAGACGTTTGGCTTCCAAAAAACGTTTGGAAACCGGAACACTTACTTCTGGGTTTTCGGCGTCCGGGAGCCAATTTGTTCGTCAACTAAGCCGTTCAAGAACCAAGGTTCCACTGTAATCTTTTCAGCACCTGCAAAAAAATATATTTGTTTAGGCAGGCCTACCCAGATGTGTACAATGTTGCTGTGTGTTTTTAATCTGTTTTCACCTTATCGTTGATTTTAATTATTTTTTAAAAATGTTTTTAATTGTTATTTAAAACTGTTTTTGGCAACAGTTTTGGTGTTTTTAGTTTTGGGGGGTTTTTTATAGTCAAGCAGTATATAAATTTTATGAAACAATCAAATAAATAAACCATGCCAAAGACAGAAATGCATTAAGTCTGATCCGCTCGACAATGGATCCCTCACAGAGATAATGCCGTGAGAAGCAGGCATGTGTGAAAGAAATCTTAAAATGCCGCTTGTAAGCGCACACATGCACAGAACCCATAAGAGGATCTGAGCAACTTTTGGAGACAGGATGCATAGGTACAAGTGACCGTCTTCATCTGTATTCCAAGCTCCTAGGTAACAGCAGCTTTCTTTTTCTGTCTTAGCTCCAGATAGTTTCAACTACAAAAAATTCTTTCAGATAAGTGGCATGTCCAAAAAGAGCAGCAGCCAACTGAAGGATCTCTTCCGCATCCTAGACAATGATCAAAGCGGCTACATTGAAGAAGATGAACTGAAGTGAGGCTCCACCTCCCCTTTGCTCTCTTTCTCTGACTTTTGAAGTTGCCTAGACATCTCTCTTCCTTTTGTGTTTCTCTCATTTCTTTGGCGCGTCCTTGGTTTGAATATAAAATAAGCATGAACCATATTTAACAGACACCCTGTGCACTCTTTCTGGGTACTATGCCTATAAAGCACATTCTTCTCCCTCGAAGAATTATGGGCACTGTGGTTTGTTAAGGGTTGCTGGGAACTGTAAACACTGGAAGGGAAACCACAGTGCCCAGAATTCTTTGAGAGAAAGAATGTGCTTCAAATGCGCTTCAAAGACAGTGTCTACACAGCCTAAGCCCAGCGGCGGAGCAAGCCAATTGGGCGCCTGGGGTGGTGCGTGTGCCCTGTGCCCAGGGACGGGGGTGGGGCCAGTCAGGGCAGGATGCTCCATGGGGCCTCCAAGGAGTCTGCGTGCCTGAGGGGGAGGCAGCGGGCGAATCGTTTGGGGCAGTGCGGAGCCTGTGGGCGCCCAAGCCACCACGTCACTCACAGGAGAGACGCCTGGCTTGGGCGTGCTGCAGGCCCTGCAGTGAGTGCCGCCCAGCATTTTGTCACCCCCCTCAGTGGTGTGGTGTAGTGGTTAAGAGCAGTGGACTCGTAATCTGGTGAACCGGGTTCGATTCCCCGCTCTTCCACATGCAACTGCTGGGTGACCTTGGGCTAGTCACACTTCTCTCTGAAGTCTCTCAGCCTCACTCACCTCACAGAGTGTTCGTTGTGGGGGAGGAAGGGAAAAGGAGATTGTTAGCCCCTTTGAGACTCCTTAGGGTAGTGATAAAGCGGGATATCAAATCCAAACTCAAACTCAGACCGCCCCCACTGCACCCCCTTCCTCCGCCCCTGCCTAAGCCCCACTGGACACAGCAGGGTTTATTTTTGAATAAGCATGCAAATTATTGAACTGCTCAGAATGATTTCCTGGGGGAATCTGCTAGTAGTCACTTCTACCATAAAACCTTAACAGCTTGATTTAAAATAGCACTCCTATTGCGAGAAATCTTTAAAATGTGGGAGGTAAAAAATGCCTATTAATTTGCATCCCACCCTATGTAACAACATTTTTTTAAACTGGGGGATGAGGAATCTGTGGCCCTATATACGTTGCTGGAATCCAATCACCATCAGACCTGGCTCAGGCTGATGGGAGTGGAGTCCTTGAAGACTACAGGTTCTCAATTTCTGCTTTAGTTCCTTGCTCCTCCGACCATTCTCCATTTGGTAAAGTTGGTGCCCAGTTTCCCCCCTCTCCACCGCCACCGTCTGTCAGGGAGAAGAAAATCTCCTAGGCAATGGGGATTAGACAAATTTGTAGGGGATAAAGCTATTGATGCCTCTTTGTTCCAATGAATATATTACCTCCAGTTAGTGTCATTGGAAGTGAACTTCTGAGTACCATGTGCTGAGGATTAAAAGCAGGAGAGTGCTTTAGTGCTCCTGTCCTGCCCTGGCCTGAGATTGTCTGAGGCAGAGAGTGGGGTTTCATCAAGTAGGATTTGTTGCATAGTCTTATCTCCTCTCCTCACATTGAGAGTCCCTGTTCTCAAATACTTCCAACTCATGGTCTGATTCAGAAAGCTCAGGGGGGACCACGATTCAAGCAGCAGGAAAGGAGCAAAGTGGGTGTGATTTTCCTCCTGAGTTCTTGCACACTTGCCTGTTCATGCTTAGCTGTGGTTTGGCTATATATTTAAAGCACTCTGATACCACTTTAAACAGCCTTGGCTATCCTCAAAGTAATCTGGGAGCTGTAGTTTGTTAATGGTGCTAAGACATGGGTAGGCAAACTATGGCCCGGGGGCCGGATCCAGCCCAATCACCTTCTAAATCCAGCCCGCAAATGGTCCGGGAATCAGCGTGTTTTTACATGAGTAGAATGTGTCCTTTTATTTAAAATGCATCTCTGGGTTATTTGTGGGGCATAAGAATTCGTTCATTATTATTTTTTTCAAAATATGGTCCGGCCCCCCACAAGGTCTGCAGGACAGTGGACCGGCCCCCTGCTGAAAAAGTTTGCTGACCCCTGCAACTAAGAGCTGCTATGAGACCCTCACAGAGTTACAATTCCTAGAGTGGTTTAACAGTAAATCCCTTCTCACAAGAAAGACTGGGAAATTGTAGCTCAGTTCGGGGAATAGGGGTCGCTTAACAACTCTCAACGCCCTTAACAAACCACAGCTCCCACAATTCTTTGGGGACTTAATTCCATGACTACTTAAAGCGTTGTCACAGTGCTTTAAAGTTTAAATGTGTGGTGTGAATGTGCTCTTAGTGTTACGGCAAACTAGGTCAGTGTGTAACTAAGGTTAACAAGGTTTTGTGTTGCTCAGGACTCCTCTTCAGGCAGTTGTACATTCAATGGCATTCAGTTGTGTGCCCTTTATTCTTCCCTTACTAGGTTTTTCCTCCAGAGGTTTGATAGTGGAGCCCGAGTGTTAACAGCTACAGAAACCAAAACCCTTTTGGCAGCGGGAGACCACGATGGAGATGGGAAGATTGGGGCTGAAGGTACGAATGTGGCTGATATTGAATGGTCCAGCATAGGTTAATCCTGTCACCTCTATCCACTGTTTCTGCCGCCTTCCCTTTCTCCTAGAAACTGCCTGACTGGCACCCTCTGTGAGATTAGTGCTAAGCACAAATGCCCCAACAACCAAATATATGGGCCGGCCTGCATCTCTCCATGAGGGTAGGCTCTTTCACCTATTGGTGATTCCATTCTGCAAGTATTATCCTAGAAACTGGCTCCTGGGGGTGTGGATCTGACTTAACAGACTTTTTCATGTTCTGCTCACTCTCATAGTGAACCAGGTCAAAGAGCCACGACCAACTGGGTATGTGGCTCTTAAATTCCAGGGAAATAGCTCTGCCCCATAGTCTTCCTCCCTCAGCCACCCATGCAGTGATTGGACTTAGAAACGTTCCATTTATGCAAATGAAACTTTTATGTACTAAGCCTACCTAATTGCTGCATTTTCAACAAGGACAGCTGGGGAGGGAAGGGTTAATCATCTCCTTGTCCTGGTAAACAACACTTCAACAGAGGCTCTTATGTGTATGTGAGTAAGAAAGCAAGCTTTAATCAAGGTTTGCAATGGTACAAGTACAGGTGCCTAAGGTGAGGCTATAGAGTTCAAGAACAGCATCAGGCATCTGAGGCCAGATGAAACCTATGAGGGGTGTGTGTCTGCTGTCAGCAGCAGGGAAATCACCAAGTTCTTGGTGATAGAATGGGGTCGGCCCCTATGGCTCCACCCACTGCCCAGCCTCCCCTCATGGGACACTGGTAGCGCTGTGGTCTAAACCACTGAGCCTCTTTGGCTTGCTGATCGGAAGATCGGCAGTGAGCTCCCATTGTTCTGCCCCAGCTCCTGCCAACCTAGCAGTTCGAAAGCATAGCAGTGCAAGTAGATAAATAGGTACCACTGCGGCAGGAGGGTAAATGGCGTTTTTGTGCGTTCTAGTTTCCGTCACGGTGTTCTGTTGCGGTTTAGTCATGCTGGCCACATGGCCTGGAAAGCTGTCTGTGGACAAACGCTGTCTCCCTTGGCCTGAAAGTGAGATGAGTGCTGCAACCCCATAGACGCCTTTGACTGGACTCAACCGTCCAAGGGTCCTTTACCTTTACCATGGCTTGTTGACACCCTCCCCCAGTGCTACGCAATCTCTAGGGGGAGAGGACAGGATGGGGCAAGACAGAGAGACAGCAGAACTGCCCCCCTTGTATTGGGGTACCCATCCTTCCTCTTGGGCTGTTCCCCACCTATGACTTCCTCTGCCTCTCCTTCCTCCTCATCTAACAGCAACTGCGGCCACAGCCTCAAGCCAGTTATCAATTAACATTACAAAAAGGTTCATTCATAGGAATAGGGCCTCTTCCCCCGCCCCCAGGATAACTATTGCATAAGCAGGTCGGGGGGGGGGGGAGAAAGAGGTGGCTTTAATAAAATGGGTGCCTTTATCAGCTGTGGTTCCACCCTCCCCAAATGATATACGAGCAGAAATACAGGTAGGATTCGAATTGGGTGATGCAGTTCTCTAACAAACAAACAAAATGGTGTACAGAAATGTGCAAACAACACCCCAAGACGCATTATATTAAGGGAAATTACTTACATTAGGGAAAATACATACCAATATGCTGACAAATTTTCATAAGGAGCATTACAAACTGATGCAAAGGTCACCTTGAGGCACATGTAAAATGTGGTTTGTAAGTGAATTATTATTAATCATCATCACAAGTGAGAAACCAAAATTGACAAGAGTCACCTGTTGCGACATTTAGCCCAGTTTCCTGATTTCCAAAAGTGGCTATCCAAATGCTTCTGGAAACGCCAAAAGCAGGACATTAGGGCAATAAGCTTCTCCCAGTTGTTCTCCACTCAACTGGCAATTCAGAGGTATACTGCTCCTGAATTTGGAGGTTACTAGCTGCACATAGACCCATTCTCCTTGATGAAACCTAGTTTCTGTCCACATAGTCTAAAGGTAAAGGTAAAGGGACCCCTGACCATTAGGTCCAGTCGTGGCCGACTCTGGGGTTGCAGCGCTCATCTTGCTCTACAGGCCGAGTGAGCCGGCGTACAGCTTCTGGGTCATGTGGCCAGCAGGACTAAGCCGCTTCTGGCGAACCAGAGCAGCGCACGGAAACGCCGTTTACCTTCCTGCCAGAGTGGTACCTATTTATCTACTTGCACTTTGACGTGCTTTCGAACTGCTAGGTGGGCAGGAGCTGGGACTGAGCAACGGGAGCTCACCCCGTCGCGGGGATTCAAACCTCCGACCTTCTGATCAGCAAGTCCTAGGCTCTGTGGTTTAACCCACAGCACCACCCGCGTCCCCCACATAGTCTAGCCTTGTCTAAATTTGTCATATTTGTTCCCTGGCACTGCAAAGTCTCACTTGCAAAGCTACAAGACTCACAGTCACCAACCTGTAGCACTTCCACAATTTCAGCTTCTATATTCCAATATTTTCCACACCTATTTCATAACTCCCTCGCTGCCATATCTTGTGCTGTCACTACATGAGAGATTGTGGTGTAGACAAGCAACTGTCTGAATTATACAAGTCAGCTTTGCAAATGACTTTTTTCCCCCTTTTGGTGCAGAATTCCAGGAAATGGTGCTCTCCTAAGGCCTTGAAAATGACCACACGTGTCAGGAGAACTGAGGCATCTATAGGAGACGATCTTCCGAAAGCTTGTAAACCCATGAACCCATTGCTAATTTTCTTTTTCTCTTGACTGTGTGTCAATGGTTTATAGATTTAATGAGGTATTGCTACACTAGTTAATAAAAGTGATGTCATGCTAGTGTAGACTTTGGTCATTGTCTCATCAGTCACTGCACTGAAAATTACCTGTATTTTCTTGTTCTTTTGCCCTAGCCTATCCTTCTGACCTAGAGATGGGGCAAATGTGGCTCTCCAGGTATTGTTGAACTACAACTCCCATCAGCCCTGACCATGCTGGCTGGGACTGGTAGAAAGTGGGGTACAACAACATCTGAAGGTCATGGGTTCCCCATTCCTGTCCCAAACAATATTCCAAAATGTATAGTGGATATATTATGGTGAGTGTGATTTTTGATACCCAGACTCAAATCTCAAAATCTATTTTGAAAAGCTCGTGGTCTTAGCAAAGGATGTTCCACAAAATGGGCTTTGTTGGGGACCAATGCTGTAAAATTAAAAAGCCATTCCCACAACAATTCATGTTTTTGCAGTCAACCTTCATGTCATCATAGACATTAAGATCAGTCCCTATTTCTGGCCCACGTTTCTAGTGAATTACAGTCCTTGCTTTGGTCTCTTATGAATGCCCTGCTTAAATTTTGAATGGTTGCCATTCTTCAGTATGTAATTTCCTCCCCAGGGTCCCTAGACGTTAAGTAAGAAATTGCCGGATGTAGCCCAAGCACACTCATTTAATTGCATACACATGAACAATTAAGGCAGAATGCTGTACACAGGCTTTTCTCTTGTACGATGTAGCTGCAGCTAAGCTAACTGTTGGCCACACAACAGGTAGGTATGAGGGAAAGATTTCATTCAGTTCACATTTAAATGTGACTCTATCAAATTGTCACTTTTCAAAACAATATGAGACCCCCAAACAAAGCCATCCTTTGAAATTCACATTCATCCAATTTTTGCAATGCAGTTCTCCAACCAGATGCTTACAAAAAAAAATGCATATATGTGGTTTTATAATAATAACAATTTATTATTTATACCCCGCCCATCTGGCTGGGTTTCCTCAGCCACTCTAGACGGCTTCCGACAAAATATTGAAATTACATTAAAACATCAGTCATTAAAAGCTTCCCTAAACAGGGCTGCCTTCTTTTAAAAGTAAGATAGTTGCTTATTTCCTTGACATCTACTGGGAGGGCATTCCACAGGGCAGGCGCCACCACCGAGAAGGCCCTCTGCCTGGTTCCCTGTAACCTCATTTCTCACAGTGAGGGAACCGCCAGAAGGCCCTCGGCGATGGACCTCAGTGTCCGGGCTGAACGAACCAATAAAGCTATTGGTGAAAATACAATACAAAAATGCACTATATTAGGAGAAACTGCATATAAAATAACATAGAAAAATGTGTTTATCAGGACAATTTTGCACCAAAATGCTTAAGAATTTTCATGAGGATTAATTGCCCCCAAATTACTGCATTTAAGATTGGAAAAATTAGAAACTTAGAAAGCTGCAGGTGAAAGATCCTGCTGTCCCTCATTGTAGGACATATTGCTTGCACGAAGGGGCATCATGTGATGTCCAACAGAGCAATCCACTTGCCCCATCCCTGGTGTCATGCGCCTGGCCTAGCCAATCCCTGATGTCCACAGGCTGAGCTCAGAAGAGGAGACCCCGATCACAAGCAACTGCTAATGCACAGGCTAGCTTATGACTGGGTTCCCTGATTGCACTGACATCCTAATTGTATGGAGACCCTGAGTGAGAGCAGCTGTGTACATATAAGGCATCTCTTCAGATATCTGTGCTCAACATGCAGATATCAGGGGCCACCGCTAATCTGGCCATGCAACATGAGAGCTAGCAGTCCAGTCATCATGTGATAACCCTTCACATAAATAACCCTCCTTCATATGTTACTTATTTCAAATGTATCCTTAATTTGCATCAGGGTTGGGGGCGGTGATGCAATTTTTTCCTCCTGCACCATTTTTCTATGAGAAACAGCTGCCCCTGGTCCAACTACTATTTGCTGTTGAAGGTGCTATTTGCAGTATATACCGGTATATCAGCACCATGGGACAACGACAAGCTTTGGGAGTGTTATTCCACTGGGAAAGCAGCACAGGGCAAAAGGTTTAACCCTTCTCTGTGCCACAGCCCTAATTCAGAGTGTGGGACCCTGATTGCTTTTCGTTAATAAAATGGTGCGCCCAGTCCTAAGCATGCTATCTGCTGCAGAAAAACATAGAATTTGACCCTAAGATGTACTATTTCTAGTGGATGGTCTACATCACATTATGTCTTGGTTTTATACCACTGTATCTGCCATTGCTCTTTCCTCCACCACAATTCTAGGAATTGTACTTTGGTGATGTTGCTAGGGCTCCTGTGTTAAAGAAACCTTCAAAAATATGCTGTGTACACGGCCTTCAAGTTTTACCCTTACCACTCCACTTCCTGTTCTGCATTACCACCACTGCTCTGACCAACATCTGCAGGTCCCCTAAATCATATCAGAGATAATAATTTAAGTAGTTTATGTCTATAGCATGGATATATCCATAGCTGTCAACTTTCAGATTTGAAAATAAGGGATCAGCAGCCTCAAAAATAAGAGATCAGCAGCCTCACCTGTCCCGGGGACAGTCTACGGGATATCTAACAATCCAGGATAGCAGCGGGAAATGGAGCTGGAATAAGGGAATTTCCCACAAAAAAAGGGAAGGTTGACAGCTATGGCTATATCTGAGGGGTTTCCTGTTTTTTTGTGTGCGTCCTTCTCCCCCACTCTTTTCCAGTCTTTGCTGCAGGAGAAGAGGTATTGCTATTTAGTTTCCTGTTTGATCACCACTCCTCACCCCCAACAATTGCTAGTTTCTTCAAAATAGCAGTGGCAGTGTTGAATATGCTTTTTTAAAAAAATGCTTAATAACATTTGACTGTGTAAACACTATACCTTTAAAGCACAGAGTTACAATTCCCAGCAACCCTAAATGAAAGACAGTGTACAGAATTCTTGGAGGGAAAGGATGTGCTTGCAATGTGCTTCAAAAATATGCTGTGTACATGGCCTTCAAGTTTTACCCTTCCTGCTCCACTTCCTGTTCTGCATTACCACCATGCTCTGCATCTGCAGGTCCCCTAAATCATATCAGCCTGTTCTTGGTCATAGGAATGTTGTGAGTCTTAACAGTTTATAATGTAGAATGCTAACTCCTGAACCAAAAGGGTAAATAGAATCTTCCGCCCTCTTGCTTAAGGAAGTTGGGAGTTCTTTGTAAGAAGACTTTGCTGGACTGAGTGCAGGATTACTAAATTTCTGAAACATATGCATGGGCATCTCTGCCAGGCCAGCAAATCCCTGACACACCCTCCACTGTTAGACCACTGTTTTGATTTTCTACTGGTGGTGCGCTTTTATGACTCAACAAGTTGTCTTGTTGGTTGAACCAAAATGAAAAGATGTGTTCATATGTGACATTAAAATGTGTTTTGAGTTTCCCTTATGCTTCTTTGTCTAGCGAATAAAACAGAAGAGAAACGGTATATACAATGCCACCCACGCTGGTTTTAGATTTGTGTTTGGATTGGATTAAAACAAAGAAATTGCAGTCTTTCCAAGGTAGTAGAAACCGTGGCAGAAAACAATAAAAGCTTTTGGTGTGCTATTCACATTTAGAACTAAAGGCATTTTGTCAACTAACTGGTGCAATTAACTGATTAACATCTTGTTTCATTTGCATTTCTGTAACTGAAGGTAGAGTCTGATGGTGTAGGCTTAAATTCGCCTATCCGTTCACATTAAAAATGCATCCGGAAGTCAGTTCCTTCTTGAATTAAAAAATGTTCACCAAACTTAGGGGAAAACTGATGACCTGGAGACACCAGCTTACAAGGGTGATGGGGGCAGGGGGGCCAAAGTTTGTGCGCAGAAAGTCAGAAGGAGATGGGAGCAGAGCCAAACACAGTGGCCGCATAGCTCTAATGGTCAGTGGTCCTTCCTTTGCCTCCTGCTGCCAACACCACCGCTGAAGGGCTGCTTTGACCCACCTTCCTCTCCATGGCCAGGAGGAGGAGCCTCTATATTTTTTGGACATTGAGGGGCCCAGCTCCCACCCCAAAAATATTGGGGGGGAAGCTGGCACACCCCTGCCTGGAGAAGAGATCCATATCAAAAATCTCTGAAACTCCCCTAGGAAAATTTCCATTACAGCATGCAGCAAAGATAATCTGAAGAACCCTATTTATTATCTGACATTCAAGGCCATCCCTGTCTCAGAAGAACAAGATCAAAGATTCAACAGCATCTCCAGTCAAGTGTGCAGGCAAACCTGATGCATGTTTATTCAGAAGTAAGGCCCACTGTGTTCAATGGGACTTACGCCCAGGTGAGTGGGCATAGGACTGTGGCCCCACCAAACCCAATGAGGCTTATTTTGGGGGGGGGTACATCTATATGCTGCAATTAGTTCAACAGAGGGGCATTGCTGCCAGTTTTCCATATAAACGGAAGGATGGTGCTTGAATTATGGGGGTCTAGACTCAGGCCCAGTGCAAAATAGTTTGAAGTCCAAGGGAGGGAATTTCAGGACTTGATTCTTGTTACTCTAGAGCTGTAATAACTCCAGCTTTTAAGAGTTCTTTGGTCAAGGTAGCCTGCTGTAAAGTAAGGCCAAGTAAGACAATATAGAATCTACCTTCGTCCTCTTCTGTGTGACTGCTTTCAAGGTGTTTTAAGAAGGCTGTCATGCCAGTTTATGCAGATGGCTCCTAATCTGTTTCTTGTACTTCTCTTAACACATAATCCTCTTAGTAGAGAATGGTGAAGAAATTCAATTCCATTTGCATTTAAAACTGATATTCTCAAATTCACACTTTCCAAAACAATATGGGAACCAAATCCCACCATTCTTAAAAATTCACACAAATCCAATTTT